ATATGCTCATAAAATTATGATTATATAAACTTGATTAGGAATGAATAATTTAAAACTTTATGAAATATCAATGTTAATATCCTTTTGTGATCATGAAACTATTTTCAATCTGAATGTGTATGATGATTGAGGCTCATTCACACAAGGTGAAGATACAAGGTGAAATATAGTTATAGTATTTCTTTTGAAATTGTTTCTTCCGTTTCATATTATTTTGATGTTAGGTTTTGTTCCTAAGGGTTGACTGTACTTCGTCAAATCATATCAAAATTGTAAATATTATAGTTAAGATCCAGAGTGTAAGTTATTTTATGAAATTACGATGCTGTATCTCAGTTTCTTTCTGTTTTGCTCAATAAATATAAGAAAAAAAATGTAGAAAAACAAAAATTATTACTCATCCCCAAAAAGTTCCCTAAATTTCTGCTGTATCCTCTGTCTGAAAGCCAATTTTTTTACCATAGAAGTGGTTAATAACGACAAGGGTATTTTCACAATTAAATTCTTCACAATTTTCGATTTTTGGGACTGTTTAAATCTCTTAATTAACAATCTTTGACGTTTACCACGGTTCCTTCGTGGCATAGTGAAAAATAATCGGAAAATAATAATGATAATACCTTAATGAATTATGCTGTGGATGTTGCTAACCAGCCTGATAGCAGTTCTATCCGCACAAGCACATGGTTCACAGCATCAGCGCATAATACAAAATATGTTTTCAAAAAGAATATTATGATATGGTAGTTTCCACCAGCCTGATGGCAGTTTTACCCGCACAAGCACATGGTTTTCACCGCCATAGCATGATATAAAAATGAGTTTGTGTTTGAGAGTGGAAAATATCAGCTTGATGTGTGCACAGACTTTTGCTAACTATTAACTCTGAGAGTTGAATAGATAGCCCGTCTATATCAGTACAAACGTATAATATTTTATCACTCTTTCGCAGTTCCTCAATTCCCTAATTTCCCAAAAAAAATTTATGTTTTATCAACTATTATATAAATTGAGCATCTACTATTCCACGTTATTGAGCAGGAAAAAAAATGAATAATAATAAAAGAACTGATATTTTTCTATGCTATTTTACTTAGGTCCATTATGAAGAATGGAGCCTCAGGATTCGAGACAAGGCGCCTCCACCATGTGTCACGACCATTGGGGCCTTCCTCCCCGGCTGCGTGATCTTAGGGGGTTATGCTTGGCAGCAAGAGGGTGTCCTAACTACCACACTCTCGTAACTCGATTGTGGCACGGAAAGAGTGCATGTTTTGTTTAACATAAATTTAAGTTTTATTGAACGATCAAAAAACAGTGAACAAGTGAGCAACACAAAAAAGGTTAAGTGAGACAAAAAAAAGTTAAGTGAAGTGACTAAATTAAAGTGACCCTATGGCTACACCTTCTAGTGAAATCCTATACATCTCTGGATCTAACTACCAACGTGATTGGAGACAATTACAGGGGCTGTACAAGGTAATGAAACAGTTTTTGATTGAAAAATGTACTTACATTGTCCATACAATAATCGCTGCTCCGGCAGGGGAGGAGATGTGTGTCATGGCGTTGACGTCTACTCACTCACTAGTGTGGTTACCCAAAAAAAAAGCCGTACTCGTGATCAACGTCGTACCGAGTCTGATTGTTCGATTGTCTGATTGTGATTCTCGATTGTCCCGGAAAATCTATACTTCAATTGTTTTATAGGCGATACTTGCCGAGTTAGCAGAATCAGCAATAATCGTACCTATCGAGTTCATTACCTCATAGGTGAACTTTCAAGTCCGATGAATTCTGCCGGAAAAGCTTACTAGGTTCCTGTCTGTGAAATTTGAACCGGGTTTGAATTACATATGTTATGTGAATGACTTTGGATATTATCTACTGAGGACTTTGATTTTCTTATGGATATTTCTTAATAAATTGATTGAATGGTTCCTTTGGTATACCAGGTGTGACAATATCGATCGGGACCGTCAAATTTCCACATCGACCTATCATGGCAGATATTGAAGATGTTATTCTGGGAATGGACATCATGGGTGTTCAAGGGATTCAACTGGACTTCGGAAGCCGAACACTCAAGATAGGTAACGTTAGAAGAGGACGTGATGTTACCAAAACGGAGCGAGACCATTGTAGCAGCGCGGATAGAGGGTACATTGGAGCAGGGCAATCCCATCATTATGGAACCCTGGAACCATGACGAGGAAGTCGGACGAGAATTCTTAGTCGGCAAGGCTTAACTGTCAGCAGACGACCAAGTACTTGTTCGATTTATCAACATAAATAATTACCCTGTGACAATTGGCAGTGATGAGGCCGGCAATTATGAAGAACTCGTCTCTGCTGCAAGCGACTCACTCAACAACCGACAGAAGAAGAAGTTAACTGAGTTACTGCAAAGGTATAGAACCATTTCCATACCTGCCAATGGAAAAACAGGTAGATCCGACATCGTCAGTCACAAAATCGATACGGGGGATACCAGACCGATTCGTCAACTAGTCCGAAGATTAGCACAGGTCAATAGAGAAATTGCAGAAAAGATCATCCAGGATATGGAACAGGGCGGGGTAATCGAGCCATCTAATAGTCCTTGGGCTTCACCAGTGGTCCTAGTAAAGAAGAAATATGAAAACACTCGTTTTTGGGTGGACTATTGCCGATTGAACAACGTGACGAAGAAGAACAGCTATCCTCTGCCTCGACTTGACGACACACTCGACACGTTGGCGGAATCGAATCGTTCCTCCACTCTGGACCTGAAAAGTGGATATTGGCAGTTGGAAATGGATCCGGCAGATAAGGAAAAGACAGCGTTCACCATCGGCACTGGATTATGACAATTCAAGGTTATGTTTTTCGGACTCTGCAATGCTCCGGTCACCTTCAAACGAATCATGGAGAATGTGTTGAGGGGACTCTCCTGGAAGACACGCCTTGTTCATTTGGATGACATCATCGTGATCGGTACAACTTTTGAAGAACATCTGGCTAAGCTAGAGGAAGTTTTCAAGAGACTTCAGGCTGCAAACCTCTCACTCAATCTGAAGAAATGTCATCTGCTGCAGAAACAGGTTAACTACTTGGGACACGTCGTAGGAAGGCAGGGTGTGGAAGTCGACCCTGAGAAGGTACGAGCAGTGAAGCAATGGCCAGTACCAAGAGATAAGCATCAACTCAGAAGCTTTCTTGGACTCTGCACTTATTATCGACGTTACGTTCGAATGTTTTCGGATATTGCAAAGCATCTGACTCGTCTCACCGAGGAAGCACGCTTCTTCCACTGGGATCCAGAATGCCAGGCGGCCTTTGATGCTCTGAAGGAACGCTTGACCACGAAACGGATTCTTGGGTATCCACTTCCACAGGGGCAATTCATTCTTGACACAGATGCCTGTAATATCGGCATTGGTGGAGTCCGTTTGCAGTATCAAGATGGACAAGAGCGAGTCATCGGTTACTTCAGCAAGGTGCTATCGAAGGCAGAACGAAACTACTGCGTTACCAGGAGGGAACTATCAGTGGAGCACTTCTATAAGTACCGCTATGGGCGAAAATTCCTACTCAGGACGAACCACGCTGCACTGAAGTGGCTCCTGAATTTTAAGATCCCCGAAGGCCAAGTAGCTTGTTGGATCGAGAGGCTCCATATGACTTGGAGATAGCACACCGAGTGGGGACGAGCCATAAGAATGCAGATGCATTGTCCAGAAGGCCATGTCCACCTGAGTGCTCACATTGTAGTCGTTTGGAGAATAAGGAAGCAGCCCTCTGCACAACCACCGTTGTCAATGAAGATTGGATACCTGCGGCAATGAAGCAAGAGCAAGAAAAGGACCCAGAACTTCAGAAGCTTTGAGAATGGAAGAAAGAGAATCGCCGCCCTTCTTCGCAAGAAGTAGCACCATCTTAACAGACTATGAAGGCGTACTGGAGTCAGTGGGACTCCTTGGTATTAGAAAACGACCTGCTCAAGAGGAATCTTGAGAGCGATGATGAGTCGGATAATCAGATGCAGTTGGTCATTCCATATTGTTTTTGCCGTTCTATAGGGATTATCTGCAATATCCCCAAAGCTGGTCCTCTTGAGGCTACGATGAGGGCAGTATCCATTTCTTCGTTATTCCATCCATTAGCTGCAGCTTCAAACTGCCGATGATACATGAACCATGATGACTGCCCATCAAAAGTGGGTGATTTCACGTCGATCTTGAACCTTGTAGAGCTATTTCGTTTGCGATCTCCCTTTTTATGTCACTCTTCGATTCGTAGTTCGATTTTATGCTGTACTTGTTCCAAAAACCACTGAAAATCTCATTTAGTTACAACCATATATGTGCGTAACTTTTGCATTCGTACATAATATGCTTCTTACAACACATATTACGTAATATACTATCATTTCTTGACCATCTATTACTTATTCTTTCATAATTGAACTATCAATCAATATTACGCTCAACCATACTTATTTTGTTTCTACACCATCTATAACCTAAGCTTCCATCATGAAACTCTCAATCGATTGTACGCTCAACCATAGTTATAATAATTTCATTTCATTTGTTTTCGATATTTTACTTCACATTATCAGTTTTGGTATTGTATATTTGTATAACTTGTCATTGTCCACTCAGCAGTGTAACCATTTATGCTAGATGTTGCGTAAGAACTATTTTTCTTTATGTATCAACTTTATTAATACTACGACTGATTATGACCATTTGAATGGTCGAAATTTGTCTCAAAAGTAAGAAGCAGAATTAGATGCACATTTCGCTATTGAACTTGTAGAGACGACTTTGGTTTTTTTTTCTCGTTGATCATCCCTCTCCACTTCGAGTATGGACTACTTCCGAAAATTCTACAATAATAAACAATCAAATTGAGTAATAAATTAAAAAAATATTCCTCTAAAAAGACCAGATAGGAAATGACGGCAAATCGCACCAATTTTTTATAACTTATATTGTTTCCGTTTAACTTTTCAGAAATTCCAAGTCTTGGTTGAAAGATGCATTACACTATAGAAGTCAGACTACAACAGTGAATATAATATCAATAATCTTCGGAGTGTGGACTGCCATATCACTATTGATAGGATATTTATTAGAAGGTGACAATGTAGGAGGCTATGAAGCATTACCTGTCCTTATATTGATTATGATCAATGTGTCGCTTGAGATTTATGATAACAGGTTGCGGCATAATGAAATTCCGAACAGAATCCGTTCTGTACTCGAAAAGTTGAAAACAGAACAAAGGAATATCAAATGGTCTGCTGAAAATTATCCCAACTTAAGCTCACCTACATCACCTTGTATTACCTTGCAATGGACCTATCGAGACGGTCAACTAGTCAACTTACCATGGGCATTGTTGGTGAAAGATGATATTATCTTAGTGAGACCAGGTAAATACATTTAGTTTCAAGGAGATAAATCTGCCATTGAGTGAAGCTTCATTGCAGGTCAGGCAAGTCCAGGATATTGTGAATCTCTGGACAAACATTCCGAGTTTCCCCTTCTCCACGCCAAAGAAATATTTTCTCCATCGCTACAAAACGCCAATGAGACTTTCAGCGCACCAAAATTTCGAAAACCACTCGAACCTAAAAGATACCGTCTGTTGGAAACACCCTACCTAAACAATTTGAAGATTTTCTTGGAACAAGCCTTGGATAGACCGGTGTCACAGTTGAATCAGCAAAGACATCTAGTAACTATACAAATTGTGGAACAAGTGATGTTACCTCTTACTTTCCTTTTAGTACTTGTGGTTAATTTGTTCCGTTATTTTTATTTCCACAAGTACCTAGGAAGATATCTGGTATCTAATACTCTGTTTATTATTCCATGTAATGTAGTATTGCCGTTACTGCCTATGGTTTTTCCTTTGTTCTGGAATCTAGCGAATTATCTTGGTATAGCACGGTGAGTACTCTCTGCAATTATCACGTTACAATACCTGCTGTTACTGTTTGCTTCCAAGGGAAAATCTATGAGAAAAAACAAACAGCAACAGCAAATTATTCCAAATTATCAACTTTTCAAAAGGTGATCAGTGATTTTCACTGTCTAGATCAGTCTAGAAAAACAAATGAAAGCATTCTTTTTAGAACGAGTATTGACTTGGCAATGAATTAATTGTGGATTACCGACAATTGGACGTGGTCAATTGGACGCACGAAAATTGGACGCGGATAATTGGACGCGGCGACAATTGGACGCGGCGACAATTGGACGCGACGAAAATTGGACGCGGCGACAATTGAGCGCATGCGAAAATAAAAATAATTTTATAATTCCAATGAAATTTATTGCATGGAATATGCAGGGCTCATATCTATAATATAACAAATACCTAACCTAACCTGTCAGGTATTTGTTATAATTATGGATATAAGTCCATCAGTATTTCATATTTTATGCAATGAATTTCATTGGAATTATAAAATTATTTTTATTTGCGCATGCGTCCAATTGTCGCTGCGTCGAATTGTCGCCGCGTCGAATTGTCGCCGCGTCGAATTGTCGCCGCGTCGAATTGTCGCCGCGTCTAATTGACGCCGCGTCTAATTGTCGCCGCGTCCAATTGTCGCCGCGCCCAATTGTCGCCGTGTCCAATTGTCGCCGCGTCCAATTATCCGCGTCCAATTTTCGTGCGTCCAATTGACCACGTCCAATTGTCGGTAATCCACAATTGATTCATTGCCAAGTCAATACTCGTTCTAAAAAGAATGCTTTTATTTGTAGCTTCGTCAGGTGATATACTGGTACAGTGAACTAAACCAACGTTGGTATGCTTAACTTTTATAAATCCTACTTTCCCAACCTGAAGGATTAGAATTACCTGTGGACAGACTTGTGTAGTATTCGAATACCCAGTATTCTGAATCCTATTCAGAATACATTTGGCTGGTATTCGAATACTATTTGAATACATTTGTGTATTTGGTATTCGGTATTCGACTGAATACTTTTTTGGTCAGTACTCGGTAGTCTGGATTCTGAATACCGTTTTTGAATCCCAGTATTCAAATACCCACTTTGTATTCGAATCCCGGTATTCGAATACATCGGTATTCGAATACTTTTTTTCTTTGTATTCGAATCTTGAGTATTCGAATCCAATTTAGAGTACAGTATTCAGGATTCGTATTCGAATACTGGATTTCAGTATTCGACCCAAGTCTGCCTGTGGACAGGTTCGATAAACCTACATTTCCGGAAAATAGGCACAATATCTACAATAAAATACGGTGTACCGGATTAACTTGAAAGGGTTGATAGCAAATACATATTATGTATTGGTAGATAACGTTTTAGTCTGTTTAAAGGAACCAATAGACAATTAGACACTTTTCACAAATATATCAATACTATCCATCCGAACATGAAATTCACAATGAAAATAGAAACAGAAAAGTAAATCAATTTCTTAGATTTGACAATGAGTAATATTAATGATGAACATAATTTTCAATTTTTCATAAACCTTTCCACACTGATATCACTAATCATAATAATTCAACACAAACTCATCAAAATAAAATTGCAGCATATAATAGTAATGATACACATGCTAGTGAATGTGCCTCTTTCGGAAGTGAATTTCAATAAAGAAATCAACATCATAAAACAGATTGCAGTCAACAACGGATTTGATAGAGATTATTCTTTTTAAAAAACTCCATAATACAGCTATTTAAGAAGTTTATCCTACCACCAAAATAATAATCAAAATTATAGAACTTTAACCTATTTGAATTTAACATAAACAGAACTTGAAAGTAACATATAGAACAAATAACACGTTGGAAAGGTTTATCAAAAATAATAAAGACAAAACTTTCAAATTCGAAAAATCAGGGGTATAAAAACTCAACTGTGGATCTTGTCCTAAGGTATATATCGGTCAGACAGGTCGTAAGTTTAATCAGCGCATTCATGAACATACGATGATTTTTTTGAAAAAGAAAAGAAATTCAACATACGCCAACCATATATTAGAAGAAAACCATAGTTTTGATGATAATTTCAAAATTCTACACGTAGAAAATAAAGGAATGCAAATCAATCATTTTGATTCATTAGAAATCAACAAACTCGAAAATTCTGACATTTCACTTAACGATCAACTAGACCTCAATAGTTCACCACTGTTGAATTTGTTTTCTTAGTAGGTAATAGTATCTATTTGCTAACAACCCTTTCAAGTGTTTTATTTTTTTTTTGTTATAATTAGAAAAAACATACATTTTTTTCTATGCTAAGAACAAAGAAAGAGAGCTGGAGAGTGCTAATAATAATAATAATAATAATAATAATGATGATAGCAATAACAATAATAATGATAAAAAAAAACAGTTGAATATACATGATAATTATACATACTATAGTACACAGGTTAAGTAGTACATGGATTGCACATGATGAAGACATATGAATTAGAGTACCCATAACTTATATGTATCAATATTACTGAACAATAAGAAAAAAAATTAGGATGAAACTGTTGGTTTTTGGTAGGTTGGTTGGTTGGTTTCTTGTAGAGTGTGCATGAACATCTTGAGTTGATCTAAATAGTGTGATCGTCTGTTTACTTTTATTTAATATCACATTAATGTAGATGCTGGTTTTGAAGTAGTAGATATTGTCTACTGAGAGAAAACCTCTTGAAGATTAAAGTTCAGTGGTTGGAGTCAGACGAGGTAGGGAGTAGATATTTTTTTTATGGCCCTGTTTTGTAAAATTTTCAAGGGATTCAATATTCCACTTTCAGTAGAGCCCCATATCGAATCTGTCCACAGGTTATTCTAATCCTTCAGGTTGGGAAAGTAGGATATAAAAGTTGGGCAAGCCAAGGTTAGTTTAGTTCATTGTACCAGTATTTCACCTGATGAAGCTACTGTTTTAGCGAAACATGCCGTGTGATTGAGAATTTTGTGTAAATCTTATCGTTTGTGAAGTTTTTACATTTTCTTTATCTTCTTCTTGAATCTCTCACAACAAACAAATTCGTATAAGAGTATTATTATTTGCGATCAGATATAATTTGTTTCAGGTTCAAAACTATCTTTGATGTCACAACCAAATCAGGAAGTAAAGATACTGAGCTAGAGGAAGACACCGATAACATCACAGAAGAACATAGTGATATTCATATAAATAAAAAAGAAGTTTTTCGAAACTTTTTGAAGATAGTGAAGGGAAAACCCGAAATTTTAACAAGATCTACCAACATTCTCCATGTTTTAGGATCAGTTAGTGTGAGTAGTAATGTCAGAAAAACACTTTCACTCATTCCCAAGGTGATTTTTGGTATGAGATTCTTCAACTGATTATGTTTACTTTCTTGTCAATTTAATTTCAAATAGTTATTTATACACCAAGATAGAAAACAATATCATTATTACCCAGGGACCAAAATTATATCCCGAGAGTTCAGCCGTTGTAATGATATTTTTTAATACCAAGGTGTAAATTAGCAATATATTTCAATCATTATATATTTCTGTGAAACTGAAATGTGTCACCATGACATCATATTGCAAGTTGTTATTGATGAATACCTACTAGATTCGATTGCCATTCCTTGTGATTATCGCACCAGAACAGTGAATTCGGGTTAATTATAACAGAGGTGGCTATGTCTTTATTGACTAGTGGTTCATAATATGACGAAAACTACCTTGGTAGTAAAAACACACTCAACACCTTCAAAAGGAGTAAATAATGGTAGAATCTACAGCTAGTTGTGAAAAAAATACATTTCACTCTAGCATTTCTTGATTTTAATTTAATATCTTGAAGGAGGTTTTTGTTAGGTATATAGAATGCTTATATAACTCATCCTCAAATTCATTATTCTTTCGTATAGTATCGATAAAATGGGTGCCATTTGAAAAAGTTGAGTGTTTGGCAATTTTACAATGCGAAATTTAAAAATTGTCTGTGTCCGTATGGTGCAAAATAGATTTATTAATCGGACATCAGAAGCTAGCCTGAACTATACCAGCTAACTATTTCACAAATTTGGTGCTCTATTTTTAAATGTGATAGATAGATAGATGTGATAGATAAGTTGATATAAAATAGGTTGTCTAAACCCAGAATTAGAAGACCAATCGAACTGTGTACATAAAAATGTACATTTTTACTCAAAATAAGACAATTAGTGCCGTCTTTTCGCATACCTTGTATAGCTGGAGGAATAAAAATATTTCAGGTAGATTGAAATTGATCGATTACAACAGAATAACAATGGGCCTTTCCAGTATCTTAAAATATTACCCTTTTTCGCTATAATGTTATGAAGGGAAGTTAAAAACGTTATCCTAACCACATATTTGTCGAGAAAATCGAACGACAATTGAATTATTCAATATTAAAAATGCTATTTCAATAAATGTGAATTCAAATGCTACTGAGCTGTGATGTCAATGTCTTCTTGCAATTTGATTGGTTGGAGTTCTGACGGCTTGGAATCACTCCGCTGTTGCCAGATCTCTATAAATTCCTTGAATTGATCCTATGTGTAAGATGGTGCAAGGAATGCAATGATTCGAAACTACTATGTAGTAGGTATTAGTTGATTGGTAATTCACTGCTGATCACATTCAATTTACCCGGAACTTCAAAGTATTCCATTTGTTTCAAGATTAATAAGGATAAAATGTGATGCAGGCATCTGACAGTAAGAAACTTTTTATATACTTAGTTTGGTTCTAGTTATGTTGAAATTTAGTGGACTAATAATTGTTATAATCAGCAAATTGAACAGTGTTATATATCAAGCACTCATTCCCGGAAAATTTTATTGCAACTATGTGTACAAGAGAAAAAGATGAAGCAGGCTAAAAATACCTCATTCCCCGCATAACCTGATTTCTCAAAATTATTGACAAGAAGGCAGTGACGCTTGTACTAAAATCAATAGAAGAACAAAGTAAGCAGTATTGAATGAAAAGTTGTTTCTTTCCGTATGGTAGATAGGTATAGATAGGTACATAATAGGTGAGTACCTCAATTTGAAAGTTCTTCAATGGAAGGGTTTTGAAACTGAATGCCATGAATATCTGCAATGTAATTCAATACAAAGTGAAATTTCACTTACAATTTTAAATAATTCCCCAACAGAAATCAACCAACTAACTTATCATGCAATGCAAATTTTCAATACCATGAATTTTCAGGAAAGTAGTTATTAGTTGAGTTACCCAACAGAATCTGTATTATTTGTTAGAATGAAGAAATGGCGGAATGAATATACGCTCGTTCAATTTGGCGTTCTCATTGATTTTTCATAAGATAGATTGATGGGAAAAAAATCTCAAAAAACTGCTTTAAAGTAATTCCAGAGCCATGCCAAGTAATTCCAGTGGCATATACTAATCCTGTATGTAAAGACTTTTTCAATCATATTTCTAGCCATAATAGAACTCCTGCAATGGATGGCGAATATACTACTACCCCATTCTCTACCTTTTTGAAAACTTAATGACTAGTACCATAGTTGAAGGAGAAGATGGTGTGCCGATGCGCACTTTATCTGACGTCATCTGGGATAACATTGATACCAATAACAGCTGCTATTCAGAGACATACAGAGAGGTTTATTGAAAAATCAGTGTATTTCTCGATCTGTCTTAAAAATCACAGATATGATCTTGTCATTATTAACCAACGTAGGTGATCCATAACTTACAGTGGAGGTGATATGAATCAGGAGGGGTGGAAGAACTCACAGTCACAACTCCACCACATAAACAATTTAATAATGACCAACGGTCATGGACATAAGTAAGGACATATTTCGAAGGATTAATCCTTCATCATCAGCAAATGTATTAAAATAAAATATGTAAGAAGAAACAACGCTTATGTTAGTTTTAAGTATTGATTAAGAAATCTAAATGTACCTACCATTTTTGGTGGAAAACGATTATTTATTAAACAAACATGAAAAAACTAATTTTGTTTTTAACCGCGCATAGTGCGGGTGAATAACTGTTAGGGAACCATTATTGCAGTTCTATAAGAGCTTAGTTTTCGAAGAAAACGTGATATAAATCAAATATTAAAATGAACCAAAATGTGGGTCTGAATTTGTTGAATTAGGTTAATTAATCACAAATGACAATCGACGAATGACAATTGTTGACAATGACGCTGAGGACAAAACACAACATTAGAATGACACCAGTAAAGTCAAAACTAAGGAATGTTTTGATTTGAAGTGACAGAACACAGAACAAAATTGTAGTTAAAATAACAAGGAGTTGAATAATTTAAGACTATCGAATTGAGTTTGTTCCTTGAGGCAGTTGAGGTTAAAGTTTTTGACAGCTTTATTAATTTCCAGAGTTTCAAGAAGGTTAAGTTTTTTTCCCTTGTCACAGATATGTAAAATTTCTATGTTAGAGTTGGGATCAAAAGAGTGTTTGTCATTGATAATATGGTTAGGAAAAACAGAATTGAGAGAGTAGAGTATTGGCGGTTTTGAAAGAAAATTTAAAATTACTGGTATTATTAACCATGACAGAACCAAAGAAAGAAAGGAGAAAATATTTGGATGTTTAACAAATTCTGTTTCAGTTCCAGTCCTGCGAATATCTGATCAGAACAGTGAACTAGGGTTAATTATAACAGATATGGATATGTCTTTATTGACTAGTGGTTAATAAAATTACGAAAACTCTCTTGGTAGTAAAAACACACTTGCCTCGAAAAGAAGTAATTTTTGGTGCGTACGTATTTTCGTCAGAAAACCACCGAATTTCACAATGGAAATGTGAACAAAACGCTATTCATCGAGATATTTTACGAAAAAGTTTGAAATTTCACCAATTTTTTTCACCCATTTTGGATATTCATTTACAAGTACTTGTCCTTCGTTTTCTACCACTGAACACTTTATATACTCACGTTGTAGGGAAGAAATGGCGGCCTATCTGAGGATGCGGGACTCTGGGAGTTGGGCTAACGGAGGAGCAGTGACAGGTCACGCGGAAATTGCGACATGGGTGGAGCAAGAGATTCCTATCTCCACCCTGAGAGTAAAGAACGCTCAAAATAGGCTGAGATGGAATAGGAGGTTCACCCTTACTATTCCAAGCATGGAACAATGGGAAGACAACAGAGTGGAATTCCGCCCAGGGAGTCTAGTATGTTATACGGACGGATCGCGCCTAACTGACAAACAGAACTCAGGTGCAGGAATTTACCTAGAAGGAATAGGCATAAGGGAGAGCTACGCTCTTGGAAATATACCACAGTTTCCCAGGCTGAGGACTTTGCCATTCTGGCAGTAGCGGAGAGGCAAGAGGTGAAAGAGGGACCAGAGCAGAAGATTCACATCTGCTAGGATAGTCAGGCGGCTCTCAGGGCTATCTGCCATCCTGAACCAAGCTCAGCTTTGGTGCAGGAATGTGGCGATGCTCTTGAGAAACTAGCTGAACAGAAGGAAGCCGAACTAGTATGGGTTCCGGGTCACAGGGGGTGCCCGGGAACGAGGTGGCCGACGAGCTGGCTAGAATCGGATCCGCGACACCGTTCTGGGGACCGAAGCCGGCACTGGGCATAACAAGAAGCCAAACTTCGTCAGCCCTTAACAAATGGGCGGACGAGGCACTAGAAGTATATCGGAGGCGTATAGGCGGCTGCAGGCAATCGAGAGACCTGGTGGCCGGTCCAAGCAAGCCAAAGACGGCTTGGTTACTGGGCAGGGATCGTCAAGTCCTGCGCCTTCTTATAGGGGTACTGACAGGGCACAACAGGTCACGCAGACACCTATCACTAGGTGTGGAAGATATTCCCACTTGCCGTGAATGCAGAAAAGATGAGGAGACATCACTTCACTTCCTCGGGGAGTGTGAGGCGTATGGAAGGATGAGATTCAAAATCTTTGGAGTAGATAAACTACAACAGGAAGATTTGGCCGAATTAGAGTGGACGGACATCCTGACCTTCATCAGAAGGACGGGAAGGTTCGGAAAGGACAATTAAAAGAGGAATGTGTAGATATGTGAAGAGCAGGGGTTGGCAAAAAGGGCCCATGGGGGCCTACTTGTCTGGCTACAGCCTCCCCACAATACTACTACTACTACACGTTGTATTTCGATAACACCTTCTGTTTTCTAAAAATCAACAAGGAGTATGGTTTATTTGGAATTTTTTCATATTACGCAAATGAGATAAACAATAGTTTGGTTCCTTGCAATTTTTTTCGACATTTGACCTTTATTTGACATCTCGTATTTGTATGGTACCTATGACTAGATTTGATAATAGAATGACCGGCAGCTGGTCTCTTGGTGTGATTGTTCACCTGACTAGAATAAGAAAAAATTCCAAATAAATACGATATAAAATGTGTTCTTGAAGTAAAACGTGAGTATATAAATTATTCAGTGATGGGAAAAGAAGGACAAGTAGTTGTGAATGAATATCCAAGATGGGTGGCAAAAGAAGGTGAAATTTCGAACTTATTTTGTAAAATATCGCGTTAAATAGTTTGTTCATATTTTCATTGTGAAATTCGTGTTTTTCATGTGAAAATACGTGCGTATCATTTTATTCCATTTTCGCACCTAATATTTGAATTTCGGGACATCGATCATGGACACCAAAAAATGACAATAACAATCTCAGTTGACGTCATGCGCAGGACAAGACGAGTTTTAGATTTCAGTCGAGCACACCATCTTCTCCTTCCACTATTATTAGTACTAGATCGTTACCACGATATCTATGTATGGTAACAAATAATTCTCAGTAAAGTGATGTAATTTCAGGCATTGGGATGTGTTGATAAGAAGGGTATATTATCATGGCCCAACCCTACAGCTGAGAAAGTTTTCTTTCTGCATAATCAAAGTAACGTATCCCACTCATCAAGGTAAGCTTTCATTCACGTTTTAGTACGTGTCAAATGAAATTTCACTGACTATTTCACTAATCAGACCAATCACAAGCCAGACAACTTGCATTATCGCGAAAACAATCAATCGAAAATATACTTTATTGTCGAAGATATCAACCTTTTTGACAAAGCATATTTCAGTGAATAATATAATGTATATATGACATATGTAAATAAATATAAATAAAATGAGAGAAATGTAAAACAAAAAATTATAAATGGTTTTGGAGTGTCATAAACTCCTGTAATTATCTTATATAGATAATACAAATAAAATCACATTATTCACATGATATCGTTAAAATCATAACAGATTATATATTAGAATATGACACTATTATAAAGTATTGGAAATTACAATATAGGACGAAATATCCCATTGTCACAATCACATAAAATAAAATGAAATAAGTATACCATACAATACGACAAAGTTATAAAATTAGAGTAGGTCATTGTAGTACTCTTGCAGGTTATAGTATGCCCTCTGTAGAAGTATGTTTTTCACTTTTTTTCTGAACTTCTTTGGGCAAGGTATATTTCTGTTTCTAATTGGTAATTTTTGCTTTCGTACATGACAGAGTTTCTAGTTAGACCTTTGTTTCTTGTCTCATATTTTCAGAGATAGTAATCATTATTAACAAACATAAACACACACACCTCATTTTTTTTGTGAAAAAAATGATTCACCTTGTATATTTGTACTATTTAACGTTGTTCTTATGCTACACTCCAAATAGGAAGATAGTCGGTAGATGCCTCTGAAGGAATGTTTACATAACGAAATAAATATATGACTCCTAATTCAAAAGCATGACCCTTCTAATGACTCAATTCCACTTTGAGTTGATAATATTGCCTTCAATATCATCCAATCAAAGAGAAGGTCAACGCTTCTCTATGGTTTCCAACGCTGTTTTCTTAGTTGGAATGGACTATAACTCTTTTGTTGATACTAATTCGTATTTCTCGGATGTTTTGTGTCTGCAAATATCTGTCAGGTGTGAGAGTGGAGGACAACAAGACTGTAATAGCTCTCCACGAGACAAACAATCCATTAGGAAGGTCGTCGATTCTCTTACTCTTGATGATAAATATGGCTTGCTCGATAGGTACTCAATGTGCTCTTCTTGTAGATTAGAGACATCATAGATAGACACCGCCACAGTGGCGGGGTTAACCCTCCAATTTTGGTTGGCCTCAAGCACCAGGACATTAGGAACATGATATTAAGCGCGTAGATATATTTTTTAAGGGGGTACATAATAACAGTACTATCAGAAAAAAGTCAGTAAAAAATGATTGGTTAGAAACAGAACATGCTCCGTAATGCATTTTTTGTCCAAAGTCAAATGCCTCTTGATGAAAAGTTAGGAATTTGGCCGTTACACAATAAATACCGATTATTATAGATGCTAATATCGAGATTAATATGAATAAAATTGATACTCACCCATAATAATAGTGTGTCACATTGGTGGCTACTTCACTTATATTTATTTTCGTTAGGTGTTCATTCTTTCGGTCGCAGAAAAAATAGCATGTTTCATTCGGATAACGCTTCGCTTCGCAAACGCAAAGTTCGCTTGTCAAACAAAACCTTATCTCGGTGCAAAAATGATTAACAAAAAAAAATCTTTCGACACATCATTAACAGAATCGATCATGCGTGGGATGGAGGCAGAAGAATATTGAATTATGTGGTATTAGCCAGGAAGGGACAATTGAAGGCATCGAATTCCATTCATTTACTGTTCAAAAAGGAAAGTATTATTTAGATAGAAAGTAATATTTTCGGTCATATTTTGTTTTCAGCCTCAAAAACATAAACGTCTTCTAATTCGACCGATGCATCATCTTTCACTAATACCCTTCTGAAGTAGTCCATACTTGAAGTGGAGAGGGATGATTAATGATAAAAAGTAACTGTAGAGACGACTTTGAGTTTTTCTTGTTGTTCACTAATATTAATACACCACTCAATTACGTTGTTTGTAAATTACTGTCGTCATATGAATTGCACAGATCTTTAACAGGGATGACAGTGAATGAATGTAATTCAAGTCAATAGTTGAGAGTATCGACATACATTCTTGGAAACATTCCATATACAAACTGTATTTCGAAAGGCTGAACTTCAATACAAATCCTATATTTTTTCAGCTTAGATAACATAAATGACTTAACTACCGATCTTGACTCCATGTACCCAAATGTTCGTCCTGAGAGCCCCAAAAATGCAGTTACCGAAGTTCTTGATGTCACACATAGAAGCAGTGAACCTTTTAAGTTATATTTTGATGACCCAGACTGGAAGGAATACATATCATCATTGAAGCCACTAGGACTTGCTATCCTTCTGAACACCTGCAATACTGACACACAGGTTAGTTTATGAATACAAAATATACATTGTGTTCACGAGGAGATTGCACGACATATCGGATAGTGATATTAAACGATATGTTGTATCGGAATCTTATTGAGCATAATCCAACTTTAATGTGAACTTGAAAATCGTTCAATTTCACACATCTCTAGACAACATAAATATAAGAACGATCTGAAGTACATACAACATAGTTATAACACACGAAACAAGTATAATCAAATCATAATTCCAAGACCTGGAAAAAATACGCTAAAAAGATCGCATCTGTACTTGGCGCCAAAACTATACAGTCTGTCCAAGATAAGGTTGCACAGCATGGGGATCTCGGAAACGGTAGGAGATACGAAGTCGGTTAAATGGAGGAAAAGTTGCGCATTCGGAGGCTCATACCAACAGCCTTTGAAAATTTTCAATTTTTTTTCAATTTTTTTTTTAGTTTTTCAGTTATATCGAAAAAAGTGCATTTTTGGAATCTCTATATTATTTTTTTTCTCCGTTATCATTAGAGATACAGGAAAACTGAAAATACTTTTTCATAGCAACTTTTGATGACGTTTAACGTGGTGATACCGATTTTTCTATGCGACGTTTCGTATTCGTAGAACCATCATCAACTTTTGTTTTTTAAATACGGCCCTGATGATTCTTCCACAGATTCTGAAAGCTTTTTTTATTCTGAATTCAACCATATATTATACAAGGTGGTTTGAATGTGTTTCGAACTATTTTTAGCCATCATCAATGTTTTTTTCGAAATTCCAAAGGAAAAATGCCATCAGTTTCAAATCTATACATTCAGATTCAAAATCAAGATTGCAAATTCCTCGTACACAAATACATGAATATCTAGATGTTTCTAATATTTATTTCAATAGAAAAATATAGCAATACAGATCACAAATCACAACAATCTTTTCTCTATCTACAATGTCCTCTCTAGTTCTCGTGGTTTTCTGTAAAAAAAATTGAAAATTTTATATTAATATCGCTTTCAAAGTTTGCTTTTAGCGATTAGCTGTTTATTTTCACTTTTTGAATATTTTTACTATTAATGTATATGTACCCATATTTTCTGTGATTTTTTCTCACAATGTTGATTATATTTAAAACTATAGGCGAGAACACGAATTTCTGGAAAAAATACCATGGCCTTTAGTATGACGATAAAAGTCTCAGGTATTTTTTTCAGATTTTTATTCGAAGTAGTTTTTCCACAAAAAAATTGCAAAGTATTGATCCCGTTCAAACGGGTTGAAATATCGCGCGTTAATGTGACGTGACAAGTATTAGACGGTGATCCGGCAACGTCGCTTGATCTTCTGGACTGTTGACTGTGTGGACAGTTGACGATTCGTTCATCTGTCACTACTGTCAGTTGTTATTTTATTTTATTGTTTATTTGTTTTTGTCGGCCAATATTATTTTTATTCCTGCCATCGAATTATTTATTTTTTCTCATCAACGTTGATTCACATTTCTGGGATGGCAGTGGCTGTAAGGAAATGCCACAAACTTGGTTCCATCCTGCTTAATCAACACTGAACAAAGTATATGGATAAACCATACCTGGAATCAAATGATATATTTTGCTGTGAGGATCGTTTTGATGTGAGTAGAATTTTTTCTTCAATATGGATTGATCATACTCATTTTGTCTTAGCTTGAATATGACATGTTGAACTGGGTGGAATTAAAACTCATTGGATCTAGAGTTTATATGCCTGAAGATGTGATTCCATATTCATTAAACGTCCAAAACTGAGAAAACACCCATCAAAATCCTAACTTTCATCTTCAGCATGAAAAAGGAGATCTCAATAATCCCTTGAGATTTTGGGAGATAAGATAAAATGGAACTTTCCTCAAATCATATTGACTCTCCTTGAGGAAAATTCTTGGAAGTACCAGTGAGTGTTTTAGTTGAAGAAAGTTTTCTTGAAGAACCTGAAAAGGAGCCTGTCATGGAAGAGACTGACATCAAATACTATGAACCAGAACCAAAGTGACAGTCCCATAACATATTGTGATAAAATGACTCAGGACTGTTGCTGATTGATATACAAATATGTTTGTGATTTTTACCATCATGATAAAGTTTATTTGTTTTCTTGCAAACTTTGTGATGATCTGGACAAGACAAGATATTGATATAATATTTCCATGTTCTGCATCTATATTCATTCTAGAAATGAAATATGTCTATCAGGAGGTCTATTGATATTTAACTGTTCTAATTATATCTACTGCATAAAGTGGACAATAAATGAAAATTTCCACCAACATTCTTGAGCATTCTTGCTTCATTTTGAAGATGGGGTCATTTGATAATTTCTGTGTACTACCTATTTGTTTACATTTTTGAAAAATTTTCCCCACATGAAATAGTGACAATACCTATCTAGTAATTTTAGCTTGTATGATTTTGTTTTTCGCATTGAGAATTGATGTTGCATCTTCCATCATTTCTAGATATGCCAGTGCTTTCTTGGTTTATACTTACTGGATTTTTTTCTTACTACTTTCATTACTCTTTTAGTGTAATGATAGGTATTGGTGTTTCTTACCAATATTCCACTGACAATAAAATATGAATGAACTAGGTTGTTCCACAAGAAGTAAACATGAATTTCATATACCTACCATCTCCAGTTTGTGAAGGTATAGTGTATGATCAATATGAGAAAGGATTTTGAACATGATGAAATATGTTATTTATAAGACACTGGTGAGCTTAAATAAGTCCAATTTTGAAATAAGAGAAGGAAAACAGTACTGATATTTTATAATTTTATTAAATGGGTGAAAATAACAATTTGCCAAAAGTTTTCAGCATTTTTTATAATTTTCTAAAGGTATATAGGGTCATATGACACTTCAACTAACTGAAAACTACCATTATTCTCAATGCTCATCTAATGTACCTTCGAATGTCTTGCACTTTGTGCCTCATAGCTTTGAAGCAGTAATTCTTCCATAGCAAACTTCAAACCATGCTGATAGTGATGATTTGTTTTGATTCACTTTTATATCTTGCACCAATTCACAATCACTGTCACTGATATTCTGATGAATGAAGTCTTGGAAATTCCCAGAAGACAAATTGGATGAATGTTTTCTGGACAAAATAATTAGCTTATGAATCAGAATCAAACTCTTTCAAAAACATTTATCCTTGGCATCCATGTTTTCTATCTACTTGAAAAACTTCTTCAAGAAATTTTGATGGAACCAAACCACTGGGAGGGTAGGAACTTCTTTTGGTGCTAATTCTACAAGTGGCATGAATGTTGATAGGAAGCTCAAAAATTTGGTAGTTTGGACACTGAGTTGGACACTTTTCAGTAACACTCCATAGAAGGTACAGAGGGTTCTTCTGATCTTCCATGTAACCATAATAAGAAAGCCACACTGTGTTTACATCTACCTAAGAATATAAAAGAATACAGTTTATAAAAAAGTCAAGAATTTATGTACCTTTTACCTTTTGAAACTGCACAATCCAGACTACAGTTTCTTCAGCTGCATGAATCTCAGCCTCAACCCTTTATGGTGTAGGACGAACTTTATGTTCTGGACTAATCTTCACCTTTATGAAACAGCTCATGCCAGTTATTTGAACTTGCAGAATTCAAAAACCATAGTTGAATCAACTACTGAAAGATTGTGATTGCTTTTTCGAATACTGGCTTCATATCTCCAATCAATAAACATGAACCATCAGACTATGTCACAATAATAGTCAGAATGATTTGAATATTTTGATTACACAAGAAAATATTAAGCAAATAAAAAATCACAGAAAAACTCTGATGTTTTGATGTTTAGGAGTTCGGTATCTTAGGTTAGGAAATATGTTAGAATATTTTGAAGGTACAGTACAGCGTTGCCAAATGCACGCCAATACTTGTTACGTCATCACGTATCCGCCATTATTGGTTTTTTGAATGGTCCACAAATTTGTATGGTTTTGAAAACGCGTTCTTTGGATAATGACAGCATTTATTGTTGAAAAAACTATGGGTACACATTATTTCAATGTTATATTTATTTATTATGCACATTTGAACTGAATTCGTGCTATTGTGTTCTCGCCTATTGTATCTGTATTTCTGTGGAAATAAACATTATTATTATATTATTATTATTACACGGAAAAGGCATTCACGGTAAATATCTAAACTGTGTACCGTTTTCGGAATATTTCAATTTGAAAATGATGAGGTGATAACTGTTGGTAGTATAGAGCTATGTATTGGCACAGTCTAGACTCTAGACCCTTACGGAAAACAGTAGTTTAAGTCAGCACTTTTCATGTCCTAAAAATCGCAGTTCACATATCCACTCGTGACTAGTATGCGCAGTAGCTCAGCTAGCGGGACAGGTGTTTTGTTTACTCTTCTTTGATTTATATGCCTTTGTGATTCATTCTACAATGTTGGTGAGTATTTAAAAAATATATTTGCAGCAACATTGTGAGAGAGAGTGATGGTCGAGTGAGCACGTGTTTGTCTGAGCTCCTCATTGAAGCGAATATTAATTGATATTAAATGGTTCATAAATATCAAGAAATCTCAATATTTTACGCACAGTTTGCTCTTGAGTATACAGTATTGTGTCTTAGTGTTTTATTATTGTCACCTGTGATAAAAACACCAAAATGACTAGAGGACGTCAACAAAGCCAAACGAATGAAGAATTATCAGCCGATTCTATTGATGTCATTGCAAATAAGGTATGTGAGAAATTTGCAAATGTTATGGAAGTGAAGATTGATAAAAAACTGAATAGTCTAGAAACCAGTATCAATGAGAAATTCTCGGAACTTCAAACAACTATGAAGAATTTACAAAAAACTGCATCTGTGAATAGTAAAAATATCGATAAACTTGAAGCCCAATGTGAAAAACAAATGCAGTTGAACAATCGGAATAGCCTTCGATTTATAGGGATGGCTACCACCAGTGGAACAGATGACTTGATACAAATAGTACTTAATTTTTTGAACAAGGATCTGAAGATTAAATGTGATCAACGTGATCTGGATTCTGTCTACAGGGCTGGACGCGCAGTGAAGGTACAATTCATTTCCAATTTAATGTATCGTCAAGTATTTGAAGCCCGAAAATCCCTAAGGAACTCTTCAATTTCCATATTCGAGGATTTGTCGAAGAAAAACTATGAACTCCTGAAGAAAGCCAAAGAAAAATATGGTGTGAAGGAAGCGTGGTCATTAGGTGGTAAAGTTTTTATTCGGTGTAAAGAAGATAATAACAAAAAACTTATTCTCTCTGAAAAAGACTTATAAGCGTATGGAAACAAGCAGTATGAAATTGTTTTTTGTTTATTGTCGTACCTGCTTTAAACGATCGCTGGTTCTAATCTATGCATGATTTTTGTTTTTGTTTTTTGCATATAAATGAATATTTCTTGGCACCCACAAACTGGGCTCACCCAAATCTATTCTTAGAATATTTGTTTAATTTTATGAATCATTGATATATACAGGGCCATGTATTTTCAGGAAAATATGTGATGAAATTTTTCCACCATGAAAATTGATGCTTTTTTGTATTCCTAATTTTAACATGGAGGAGCTCTCACTCACACAACGCATCTGATAAATATTTGAAGTAACAATAATTCATTCAATAAAATAGATATAGATATACATACATATATATATATTTATATAGTATTTAGATTAGTTTCGTTCATACTTATAAACTTTAATTTGAGCTGGTAATTGGGTTATTATGAAACTGAGAATTTATTATCAGAATTGCAGGGGTCTACGCTCTAAAACAAATGTAATCTTTCAGAATACTTTAGCTGAGACTTATGATGTGATTGTTTTAACGGAAACTTGGTTAGATAAGAGTATATTTGATTCGGAAATTCTTGACGATAGGTATGTAGTATTTAGGAAAGATAGGGACGCTGCTAGAACAGGTAAGAGTATGGGTGGCGGTGTCTTAATTGCTATTTTGAAAAAATATAACTCATCAGTAATTGACATGGACACGTATTTGGAAACCATATTTATTAAAACCAATATTTTAGGAAACATTTTTATACTTAATGCAACTTATATTCCTCCAAGCTCTAACTCGCAGTTATATATTGATTACTCAAACTTATTCGATGACCTTCATGGAGCTGTTACAGCTGATACTCATCTAGTTATATTGGGAGATTTCAACATCCCTAGTGTTTATGGAAATGACTTCAAGTTTTCATCAAACTCTCAGATTACTTCTACGATATCTCAATTAATTAATACTTTTGATTTAAATTCCTACAACGATTGTCAAAATGAAGACTTTCGAACTCTTGACTTGGCCCTTAGTAATTCCTCTTTGGAGGTGTCCGAGGAACCCTCTCCATTGGTCCCTCTTGATAAAAAACATCCAGCTCTGAATTGTGAGTTGGAAATTATGAGATTCAGACAAAATGGTGAATTGAGGAATAATCTGCGAGATATGTATAACTATAAATTAGCAAATTTCCCGTTGATATATGAACTCTTGAGGGACACCAACTGGACCCTTTTAGGATATTTCACGGATGTCAATGATCAGGTACAGTATTTTTATAATATCATTTACAGTATACTCGATACATGTGTTCCACACACCTTGAATCACAAAAAATCTTATCCACCTTGGTTTTCTGTGAACATAAAAAATAAACTGAAATTGAAAGAAACTTTCAGGAAAAATAAACATATCTCTAATTTTTATTTAGAAAACTATAGGAGACTCCGCTCTGAACTGAAACATGATATTAAAGAGGCTCACAGCAAATACATTCAAAATATAGAAGCTAACGTAAAGAGTAGTCCAAATGTTTTCTGGAATTTTGTGAAGAACTCTAAACAAAAAAGACAATCCAACGAGAATTTCTTAGTTGATGGGGAATTGTCGAATGATCCAATGAAAGTCTCAAACGAATTTGCAAGATTTTTCTGTTCGGTATATAATGGCAATGCTGCAACATATGATATGGCTCAGATAAATAATCGAGCAAATGTATTACCTGTTAGTAATGCTCAACATTTGTTGTACAAGAGAATTAGCTTAAACCAAAGAAATCTTCGGGTCCTGATAATATTCCATGCTATCTAATAAAATCTTGTAGAGAATATTTGATATATCCCCTTATGGTAATATTTCAAAAATCGCTGGATTGTGGAATTTTTCCTGATCATTTCAAAGCTACCAAAATAACTCCTATTCATAAAAAAGGAGCAAAGAGTGAGATCGCAAATTACCGACCAGTTGCTGTTTTGAATTGTATAGCAAAGTTAAATGAATTTATTATATTTGATAAAATTTATAATCATGTGAAACATAATATTTCTGCAGAACAACATGGTTTTCGCAAGAAAAAATGCATTGAAACAAATCTAGCTACCTTTGTGAATAAGACCCAAGACTTCCTTGGAATTGGAGAACAGGTAGATGTTGTGTACACGGATTTTGCCAAGGCGTTCGATCGAGTGGATCATGATACTTTGCTAGTGAAACTTTTATCTCATGGTCTGAGTGAGCAGTTGGTGCATTTGCTAAGGTCATATCTCAGTGATAGGCCACAGTACGTTAATTTTCTTGGATACAACTCATCAACATATATTGCAAGATCTGGAGTACCACAGGGCTCCAATCTTGGTCCTCTACTATTTTTAATCTTTATTGATGACTTGCCAAACCTTGTGACTTCTGATTGCTTATTATATGCTGATGATTTCAAAATATTTCGACCTATCAGGAACGTTAATGATTACTTAGTGCTACAAAATGATATTGACAATATTATCAGTTGGTCCAATGTTAATAAACTATATTTCAATTTTGATAAATGTAAAATAATGACTTTTCATCGATCCAGAAATCCTGACCATTACATTTATACTATGGACAATACTATCCTAGAAAGATGTTCCTCGATGAAGGATTTAGGGGTACACTTCACTGAAAATCTAAAGTTCACCGAGCATATAAATATCGTGAGTAGTGAAGCTTTTAGAATGCTAGGGTTTCTCAAACGTTCAACATGTGAATTCAGGAATATTGAATCGATCAAATTGCTTTATTACTATTTAGTTCGCAGCCGTCTTGAATTTGCATCCATAATTTGGGATCCACACGTTCAGGTCTTGAAAAGAAATTTGGAATCTGTGCAGAATAAATTCTTGAAATATCTGTACTACTGTCAACACAAAGTGAATCCAAGGTTCGAATCTTACCAACCAATACGCGATGAGTTTAAAATACAACATTTAGAGAACAGAAGAACTATTTTTAAAATGGAATTTATACACAAAATTTTGAATGGATCAATAGAGAGCGAGTACCTTTTAGGTCAAATTAATATTCTAGTACCCTTAAGAACACTTCGTCCCAGACCCATACTCTTTCATGTTTCGATAACAAGTGGCTCTTTAATGAACAGTATTCTCCAAATCTGTAATAAGTATGTTGACAGAATGAATAGTTGTTTTTTTGATACCAAATTAGCCAAGTTTCGGAAGGATTTGTTGAATTTACTGTAATTAAAATCAATACCTGTATTCTCTAAGGCTCTAAGTTACATCATACAACTTAACCCATCAGCTCAAGTTTGGCTCTATAATTTTCGCTCTTTAATTGATTATTGCTATTAAGTAGATCTAAGTGGAAGTTAGGATAGATTAGTTTAGGTTAGAAAACTTGTAATTAGGTGTGAACCTGTTAGTTTTCTATATATATAAATAAATATATTAGCCTATGCAAAGTCAGAAACATATTTTATAACATATGGAAATTCTGCTGAAAATACATATGGAAATTTAAATATGACTCTGACATACCAAGGAGTATGTAAAAATATATTTGCTTTTAATTTCCCTAAATTTTCAGTCCAGCCTAATGTTGCTATCAGTACTGTCAGTCCTCACTTAGTTGTGTCTGACTGTCACTGCTCGTCCGTACACCCTGTATCGTATACAGGGTTTCAAGATACAAGGCGTCAAAATATATTTAAAATAATGAATTTCATTCAATTAATAGGCAACCTCTGAAAAAAAATGGAAAATATTCCAATGAATTGGTGAAATGCTGTCTTGTGAATGTAGTAATTTTTTTTGCAGGAAAACTACACAGCTTTCTGTTCCCATATAACATGTGAGGCAGTTTACAATGAAAATTCGGTTCCTGTTATGAACAGAAGGTGTCTCTGTGAACTGGCTAAAGAAATCGGTTTTGTAGATCATGCACAAAAAATATTCAGTCTAGAAGAACATATATCATCATTCCGGCATTTGGTAAATACATAAATGAATATTTTCATGTGAGGTAACTAGTTAGTTATGCTGATACTTCGTTTTAGCAACCTGAAATGGTTAGAAAAGATAATAAGTATGCCCGATCTTTGCAACTATCCACAAAATTGAAATTTCCATTTCCTCATATTTTCGCGGTTGTTGTGAAGGAACTATCTACTGGAAATACTCAATTATTATCTGAAGGAACAGCTGATCTTATCTTAGATTCTTGCGTAGAATATTGGGATGGACGTGATCTTGTACCATTAACAATATCTGATAGGAAGAGAATACAAGATTTTTATCAGAGGAGTAGTTTGACAGCCTACTGTACTGCGTTTGCCTACAGGTAATGGAAATTCATGCTGAAGGAATCATTGATTCTTCATTAGTTATAAACATTACTTTGCAAAGGACCCCGCACTTTTTCTATATAAAAATGGCGTTCCGTCGAATTTCCCCAATTTTTGGTAAATGATAGTACTCGACATACTGATTGAATATGCCAAGTCCCAACTCAATCCTATGACTAGTTTACGAGATACAGGGTGTTGAAGTTGAAGAATACCTAATTTTTCTCGGCCTATATCTCTAAGATAGGACAAATGAATTCCAATTTTTCGGGAGCACGTAATAGTTATGCCCTTAGGCGCAAGAACTATATAGGTATTCGACCAAAACTGATTTTTATTACAGGGTGATTCTCATTTCAAATAATGTGTTTTTTTGAATATCTGAATATCAATGCTACAAATTGATAACAATTACAAAATGAGATTTATAGCCAAGTATGCTCTTCTTACATCAATTGAATTCGTAAAATATAATAATTATACATGGTGTTTCATTAATGCTGTTGATTGCATAATTGGTCTATCCTAAAGTTCATTGGGCCACCTCGTATTATCGGGTTGATTCCAGACATTCAAAATATTTTTGAAGGATGTATCCCAATGAGTTCCATGATATACAGAGTGATTCATCGATTGAAAAAATTGACAACCACGAAAAAATATTCAAAAACCACTATTTTTTTCATCACCCTCTAATTCGAAATTATTACCGTCGATGTAAGATTTTTTTCCACCAATATACTCAGTATGGATATTTCAATCAAATTGGGAATTTTCAGACCCATGCTATGACTAGTTTTTTTTATACATCGAATAATGTGAAAATAATTATGGAAAAGTAATTACATAATAACACGAAAAATTGCTCCGAATCGCAAAACTAGTAGTCACTAGTCAACTATGTCAAAAAATGTGATTTGTTCGTAAACAAAATCTAGTGGTCTTATTATAGGTCCGCTAGCAAAACATCTCGAAAATGTTTTTCAGAAAACATCAAACAAATCACAATATGCCCCCGAAAAAATCTCATCAACGACACAACTCATCAACGATCCCACTCATATAAACGTGCTAAAACTCATGAGCGTTCCAAGTCGACAGCGGTTTTTCCCAACTCAATCCTATGACTATACTTTTCGAAAAAAATATGAAACTAAACTTCCGCAAACGCCTAGTGAGAGGTGCGCGTTAATATATTTTGCAACTCTCCTTTATCCAACCAACTTCCAATCTTTTGATCATACTGTATATTGTTAGAATCGAAGTTAGTATATGCACATCGGAAAGACACTAAAGTTGGAGTTTTGGTTATGTAGATATTCGTTACCGGGTTCAGTATAGACTTGAAAGAAAAATGGAATACAGGAACATCAGTAGGTACCGAGGAATCATCATTTATCCAACACATCAAAAATATAGTAAAATAATAATGAAACAATCTCGAAGCCTCTTTCTTCCACTCAATATCAATTCAGAATTGCAATCATAGATTTTGAAAAAATACATGAACCAACTCGTTTTCCAACAACATCTATTTGTTGGAAGAAATAGTGGCATTAGGTAATGTATATCGTAAGATATACATACCGTAATAGATCGATAGACATCCTCAAATAACTATAAAATTATATTTTAGGGTAAGTTCTAGTCCCAATTCAAGTTGACAACTGATATTTTCGGAATCGGCGGGGTCGAATTAGTCTAGAAACTTGGGTTGTCACGAATTAATAAGTATGTTTTACTTCGTAGAAGTCGAATTTGGATTATCGCAACCAGATAGAATATTTTTCAGTAGGCTTAGAAAACAAAATCATGATATCAATAAATGTGTCTGTCATCCAGCAACTTTCGGGTTGTCAGTATCTTAAAATATCATATCAGCGTATATCTTTATTCTGAGTGTTTTTTAAGTCGTTTTCAGTAATTGTTTAGTGAATTTAGTGCGCATTATGGCATTTGCAAATAGGGTAAGATGTTATGTATGCGAAGGGAATTTCATTCCTAGACTCACAATTCGTATAAATCGTGAAGATAATGTTGATTTTCTGCAAACTGCAACATTTAGAAGACAAGCTGCTGGAAATCCTCCAATTGACATTTTTGATGATACCAGAGTTTGTTTCAATTGTCATAACAGTGTAATAATTGATATCAATGAGATGGAAAATAACCCAAACTGTCTTCGCCTAAATGTATTGAGTCCAGTAATGAGCCGTGCCTGCATAATCTGTAATGCTCGTCAACATGTTCAGAGAATAACTCTTGCATGTAGGGTGAACATTTTTGTTGTAACGAATATTTATGTTCCGGACTTTCTGAGAATTTGTGGTCATCATCTTGACCCTCATGGATTTCTCTTGAATAATTTGCATGGAGGTTTGAATTTTATCAACAAACCCTATTTGATATCAAATATGCTTCAATTTCTACAGTGTATGAGAACAGTTGCCAATGAAAATAGACGTATTAGAAACTGGGATGATATTGATAGTTTTACAGAAGAAGAGTTCAAAGCTCTGACGTCGATTTCAAAAGAAGATTTTCAAGAACTTTATGGATTTTGTGATACAATCGAGCAAGGGGGAAATAGAAGGCATATCAAAAAGAAACATTTACTGACATTTCTAATCAAAATGAAACATGGAGTTTCAGATGAGTTTTTGAAAATCTTGTTTCATTTTTCTTCAAGACAAACAACTAGCTTGATAATATCGAATGTGAGGATATCTCTAATGCAAAGATTTGTAACTAATAATATTGGTTTCGACTCTATTACAAGAGACGATTATATTAATAGACACGTGTCTGTATACACCAATCAGCTATACAACCCTTCTCCCAATATCCCAAAAGCAATTGTGTATATAGACTGTACATATAACAAAATAGAAAAAAGTAGTAATTTCCGGATATTGAGACAATCCTACTGCTTCCATAAAAATGAGCACCTGGTTAAGCCTGAAATTATGGTCGCTCCTGATGGCTACATCTTGGCAATTAATGGTCCATACTTTTCTGATGCTAGAAATAATGATGCCACCATTCTGCAGCATGAGCTACAGAATGATATAAATAGAATGAGGACATGGTTTCAAGAAGGCGATGTAGTGATAGTCGATAGGGGTTATAGGGACTCTATTGGTCTTTTACAGGATCTTGGTCTCCATTACCATATGCCACCATTTCTACCACCAAACCAAAGACAACTCACAACAATCGAAACTAATAGGGCACGCTTAATTACTAGCACCAGATGGATTGTAGAGGCTAGAAATGGGCATTTCAAATCGATTTTCAAATTTTTCCGAGGAGCGATATCAATAACACATGTTGCAAAATTACGCGAATTCTATTTGATTGCTGGCGCCCTAATAAACAAATACCATCCTCCAATAAGGATGCCGGGCACATTGGAATTAGCTACACAAATGTTGCATGATATCGAAGAAGTCAACATTGTTCAGGCCCGAGTTGAGGCTGAAAACCTCCGTACAAGAAATGGTCGATGGTTTCGTTTGAACCATAGACATGTACCGACGTTTCCTCGACTTGACTTAGAATATTTGAAAACACTCACAGGGTCATATCACATTCACTTAGCTGCCTCCTACATACAAGACACGATACAAAGAGATGGAGGGGAACAAAATACACTCGATATTGACGAACTCATTGAGGAACCCAATTTTTTAAGATTTCGAGTATTTTCTCGGTTCAGAAATGCCACTAAACATATGCTGTGGTTAGTATTCAGAGAAATCGATGATAATAATTTACAAGATCCGCCCATTTTAGGGTACTACTGTACTTGTAGGTCCGGTGCTAGAACATTAGGGACGTGTGCACACGTAGCCAGTGTGGTATGGTTCCTTGGATACGCAAGAAACCAAGGAAATATTACCTTTCCATCTGATCGCCTTTTGAATTGTATCGACGATGCTGCAAATCGATTGAATCCTGAAAATATGAACATCGGTCCGGAACTGATTTGAATCTGGCGATTAGTTGATTTCTGTGTTCCTTGTGAAACATAATTATAGTAGTAGTAGTAGTATATGTCCTTCGTTGGTAGGTATGTACATACCAACCAACCATCGATCCCTAATGAGGTCCTTTAGCCCATAGTGTTCTGAACATGTATCTATATTGTATGTAGGCACGCAACAGTGAATCGTGCAGGACTATCCCCAGCCGATGCTCCGAAACTTCACAATATTTAATTCGTATATTAATATTCGAAAAATTCCTTGCGCTGTCTGGGAATCGAACCCACGACCCCGCAGTCCTGACTCGGGTGCTCGTCCACTGCGCCAATCCTGCCTACACACAATCATATTATAGGTATTGGAACTTTCACTTTCTAACGTGGACTAGGCCTACAGAGGATACCACAATAAAAAAAACGCGCCTGAAACTCTACCTCTCAGGTGGTGGGGAAACGAGTTGGTTTGTCTATTTTTTCAAAATCTGTGATTGAAATTCTTAATTGACATTTTTCTTTCAGGCCTATACTGAACCCGGTAACGAATATCTACATAACCAAAACTCCAACTTTAGTGTCTTTGCGATGTGCATATACTAACTTCGATTCTAACAATATACAGTATGGTCGAAAGATTGGAAGTTGGTTGGATATAGGAGAGTTGCAAAATATATTAACGCGCACCTCTTACTAGGCGTTTGCGGAAGTTTAGTTTCATACTTTTTTCGAAAAGTAGTCATAGGATTGAGTTGGGAAAAACCGCTGTCGACTTCGAACGCTCATGAGTTTTAGCACGTTTATGAGTGGGATCGTTGATGAGTTGAAAGTTGATGAAAGGGGTGCGTAGAATAGTTGTGTCGTTGATGAGATTTTTTCGGGGGCATATTGTGATTTGTTTGATGTTTTCTGAAAAACATTTTCGAGATGTTTTGCTAGCGGACCTATAATAAGACCACTAGATTTTGTTTACGAACAAATCACATTTTTTGACATAGTTGACTAGTGACTACTAGTTTTGCGATTCGGAGCAATTTTTCGTGTTATTATGTAATTACTTTTCCATAATTATTTTCACATTATTCGATGTATAAAAAAAACTAGTCATAGCATGGGTCTGAAAATTCCCAATTTGATTGAAATATCCATACTGAGTATATTGGTGGAAAAAAATCTTACATCGACGGTAATAATTTCGAATTAGAGGGTGATGAAAAAAATAGTGGTTTTTGAATATTTTTTCGTGGTTGTCAATTTTTTCAATCGATGAATCACTCTGTATATCATGGAACTCATTGGGATACATCCTTCAAAAATATTTTGAATGTCTGGAATCAACCCGATAATACGAGGTGGCCCAATGAACTTTAGGATAGACCAATTATGCAATCAACAGCATTAATGAAACACCATGTATAATTATTATATTTTACGAATTCAATTGATGTAAGAAGAGCATACTTGGCTATAAATCTCATTTTGTAATTGTTATCAATTTGTAGCATTGATATTCAGATATTCAAAAAAACACATTATTTGAAATGAGAATCACCCTGTAATAAAAATCAGTTTTGGTCGAATACCTATATAGTTCTTGCGCCTAAGGGCATAACTATTACGTGCTCCCGAAAAATTGGAATTCATTTGTCCTATCTTAGAGATATAGGCCGAGAAAAATTAGGTATTCTTCAACTTCAACACCCTGTATCTCGTAAACTAGTCATAGGATTGAGTTGGGACTTGGCATATTCAATCAGTATGTCGAGTACTATCATTTACCAAAAATTGGGGAAATTCGACGGAACGCCATTTTTATATAGAAAAAGTGCGGGGTCCTTTACGAATTTCAATATTCAAATCTAGATCAATAGATCTCGACTGGAAAATGTTAATACCTTGTGAATTCACCCTATTCCTGAACTTCACTACACATTTCCCTCAAATTAATACAACAATTCACCAATTATGGTTCTTGAAGCAATCAAACTGCTGAAACTCCAATACCAAGATCATTTATGTTGATTAGGCGTTAGTTTCTTCAAAATGCAAATTAGTAATTCAGGAAAACAATCACATGATTGAAATATATTAATTTTGAATAAAAATAAAAAATATATATATCTTTTTCTATCTACGATTGTTACTGCAGTTATTTTTTGAATATGTATCTTCTACAAATGACTACCTTTGGCCAAGGTAATTTTTGTATACCTCAATATGAGAAACTCATGATTCCATGATGTAGGTATTTTATATCGCAGCGATTTCCCAATCATTTGTAGAAATTCTATATTATGACCAGAAATCTCTTATCTATAAAAATGTGAAACTATTATATTGAGTTCATCAGCCAAACATCAATATTTTTAAAAATTCTGCATTCTTCTTTTTTTTTTTCTTCAAATACTTATAAATGTGTTGAAATAATGAGGTAATGTTGGAACTTTGTCTAATCTAAGGAATAGTCCAGATGTTCACTTATATTTTGTATTCTATACCAAACAGTACAAGCATTCCAATCAAATTAAAACATACGAGATATTTTGTAGTAACCATGAATTGTTGTAATAGTTTTGAAATTTGAAATTTTTAAGGCCACTATCAAAGATGATTCATAATAAATTAGGTGAGGTCTATTTGGAACTGCCAAGTGATTCAAGGCACTTGTATATGAATCAAAGAAGTCCAACACCCATGCATTGGGAGTGTAAAAGTGTACTCGATCCTAATATAAAGTCTTGTTCACAGTTCTTCAGCACAGGTGAGCTTTATTTTAGTTATCTCTTGTTCAATTAATAATTCAAAGATCATTGAGCCCAAAAGAAAGATGATTAAATAGCTTATAATAAGGCATGACCTTTGAACACCCAGAAATTATTCTTTACTCGATAGTAAAATGTCAAGTAATAACGTATGGGATAGCACCCCTCTTCAAAAATGATAAACACTTCTCTATAACTCCGTATCTGGCTTGGTTTTGATGAGTGTACCAACATTTTTATTTTAGAAAACTTTTACAATCGGGTAGTTTTTCACTACGCATTCAGTGAAAGCTTATATATTTGGTGAGGTATCAAAAATGAATGGCCATCACTTTATTTTTAGGCTCAATTGTAAGATAATCGAATGACATACGCGGAAACATATTTCGCCGATAAAAGCCAGCCGAAAGTTGTCAAAATGAAATTTTCTACAAACCAGCAGGTTATTTCAAAATTGGTCAATAAATATTGTCACAAACTGTAGGCGGGAGTTGCCTAAGTTGTGTGTGATCCATTTGAGAATGAACTTCAAAAGTGAGAATAATGAATAATACTCAAAAAGGTTTTCGAACAAAACATAAACACACATTTATTCTTTGATTTATGATTACCAATCAATAAAAACTTAACTTTCCCTATATGTACAAATCTCCTGAATTTTTCTGGGAGCCTGAGGAAGAGAATCTTCTGTTCTGCCCGAACTCCGAAGGTTCGGGCACAGTGGCAACTTTACAAACTCACTATGGATATAATTCAGACTTTCCTAACTCGTGGTCATCAAAAGACCGAGTTTGAACTCGAACTGTCAGTCCAACTCGCAGTCGAACTGTCGAACCCGCGTCCTTACGTATTTTAAATAGTTGTCTATATTTTCGGAAACGTGACAGTAAGGAAATCAGATCGATAGTCCAGGTTCGTTGAAGTAAATGTTACGCCTGTGTTTATGTTCAACTACTATGGAAAAAAAGTTCGTTCACGATTCGAAAATTTTGGAATTAATAAACAAAGACGCGACCGTTCAATGACTTCGAACCCTGAATTTAAATGAAATTAAGGAAAATAACCCTATTCATGACAATATTCCAAAAATCACGTAGTCCAATTGTCCTACAACCCTTGTGAGTTTCTTTGGGCAATGAGTTTGTCATGTTTGTTATCTAATTATCTCACAACTGAACCTCAAATCAACGTATTGGATCATCCGTTTTTAATTTTCATCAAATTGACGGTTTTTCCAGCTGCACAATAAAAAACGTCCCGTTTATAAAAAAATCGCAATTGAAAACGTTGGTAAACTTGTTTGGGGGAAGTTAAACTCGCAGTTATATAGGAGTTATAGGAGTTACTTGAAAAGCTGAACGAATAACGAATAATAATATACGTTGAATGTGTAACCAGTGCGACCAGGGCCAAATAGCTGTTTGACATTCTATGGAAAACATTTCAGGCAATTAAAAAATGACCTTCTTGTTTTCTGCTCCTCGTTTGATAAGGCTATTTAATCAGACATGCGCACCCTGCTTCTGTGCATGAATTAGAATAGAATATTTAAAACATATTACACTCAACTAATCTAAATCTGTTATGAGAAAAGTTCCACAACAACGGGAAGATACTGTTGAGACTGTGGGAAATAACATAATCCAAAAAACCATTTAAAAACCATTTACTATATTTATATTTTATTGTGATAAATTAGCAGTCAACTTGACCATTAGTGATATCATTATTTGACTGTGATATCAGTGTTTTTAGTATACCGAGTATACCGGAGCCATTTCATATAGCCAGTAGGCATCGCAATTATGAAAAAATTAAAATAACGTGAATTGAACTAAAACACCTTCAAGTATGTACTGTCGACTTCAAATTCGAATTCAACTACCCCTGAGAAATCACTCCCACAAATGGCATTCTTTATACGTGATCAAGGATCTACCACCCCTGTGAAACCTTCATTTTTTATCGAACTTGATGAACTATTTTTTATTGTAAGTATTGCAGATATTTGAAATGAACATTCAAGAAGTTGGTGATCTCATTTTTGGCCAGTAATCGTGAACAACTCCGACCACATTTATGTATCAAATTTCAAAAAGTACTATTAGGACATTTTTTCTCACCAAAACTAACAAAAATATTCCATCTGAGAAAATGAATCTGATAATTTTTTAAATGATTGATCGAGGGTTTTTTGGAGGAAGGAACTACATTTCTTTTTGAGGATCACTTCAAACATACCGATTTTCATCCTTCTAAACTAGACGGTAAAAAACAAATTAATTTCGTCCGAACACCAATTATTTTAGAATGATAAAAATCCATACAGGTGTTTGATTGATTTCAACTGAGAAGCCGTCACTAGTTTCGGAGTCGTAAGAGTATACTTTTTGAAATTTGAGCCCATTAGTGGTTATCCGAAAATGGTGAACATTGTGAACGAGGACACTGTTTTTAGATCGTAATTTCTGGGACACATTCAATGACGTTCACTTGTTATTTTCACATGTCACATCTTCGATTCGAAAATGTTTAATTACTGAGTTGGAACCTTCAGAACAATTTCAAGCAGTTTTCGTGTACTCTTTTCAATCTCATATCAGTTTTATACACAAGTTGAATTTGACTAATAGCAGATAATCTGTAATGGTCGAAGCAGCTTGTAGTGGTAATGTTGAAGGTCATGTATTAATTCTGTCAATATTGGTTCATTTATTTGCAGTAACGACATTTGTTTACAAAACTCAATTGAAAATTGATATTGAGATGCTTTAACGTTGTAATGTCCCTTTGTTCCTCGAGAACGTATGTAATTAACACACAATACGTTACCTTGCTTCTTCTTTCCATAATTTTCATTCACCCTATGTCATGTAGATGACCTATAGTCCCCAACCATACTAGTACCACCACGCGGGAGCAATATCGGACCTCCCTGTCATTCATAAGGTTGACGTTATGTCCTGATATTATAATACTCAAGGTCAATCGATCGTTCCTCTAAAATCTACCGACATAACCTACTATTCAGACCACTAATTTCTTAAGACAAAAGTTCATCCATAAGTTTGACATCATGTCATAATATTATAATACCCTTCGTTAATCGATCGAACCTCTAAAATTCACCGAAATAATTTCATGATACAAAAGCTCATCAATTTACGATAAGGAACGGGATCCCATGGAGCGTGCGCATTATGACCGGTTATCTTATTCCCGCTTACTCATGATTCCGAACACTCAAGTGGATCTCATGAATTACAGTTTGGGTCCTTTTGTGCTTTAAGCAAGAGTTTTCAGGAGAGCAATATTCGGATGAGATTGTCGGGTTGTATGTGGTACGGTGTTCCATTTGGATATTTGAAATTGGTGTTTGACGGAGTTTGAATTTGACAGTACAGTCTTCAGGACATTTAGTTTCAGAATTTGTTCATTCTTTATTTTTTTCTAAGCTATATAGTTGGGATATTGGCTGTATGAAAAGGGCTCAGACGCCTGGTATTCTCTGAGTAATTATTATGCTCCATTGTGCATCACATTACATCAGTAATATATAATTTTCAGATTCCCTTCTCTTTAATGATAATGCCATGATCAATGTGTCGGATGCCGAAAGCTGTTTTCAAATGCAGTGTAATCAGATCTTCATTGGAATGGTGACAATGCAATATCAAGCGATGACAGATATAGTGAGTACTACAGACCATTTCATTACAGTTATTTTACCCCTAGTGACATTCTCATAATTGTTAGCAGTGTTAGCATTTCTACGGTAAATTATCGATATTGATAGTTAATTCAACGTTCTTTGTAACATTTCTGAGGTTAACTTTTATTTCAACCCTTCACATTCCTTACACATTCTGTATATGCATATATAATCAATTGTTACCAAAATTGAAGAAATAATAATATATACATCTAATTCAGTTCAGAAATGATCATTCTTGATTTATTTTATGGATACAATAATCTGGTCAGTTTATTTTCTTCGTAACTTATCATTTCAATATTGAATTGTATAGGTGCATTTGATTGAACAATTAGAAAGGGCCTGCATTAGATTCGTCCACTTCAGTAAAGAAAATGAGTTGAGATCGAGAGTGTTCAATGAAAAAATGGGATTAGAGAGTGGATGGAATTGTCATATATCACTTTTGAGTGAGAGGAACAGGTGAGCTTAGTTTCTTCAATTCTACTAATAATTTATCAATCCTAAATTGGTAGTATATTCAGTTGCTTAGATTCATTTAATTGTTCTTCGGACAAATGAGTGTGTATTTGGTTGATTTTCAAGCTTACCTTTCGGTTATGAAAATGTGGTGGTGGGAATTAATGGAAGAGGGATCGTTTTTGCATTTCGTCATTCACTCTGATAGGTGACGCTGAATTTAGATAATATTTGACGCGATGAACTTTTATGTTTTGGAAACGTTCCTATGTATCATCATTTATGTGGGCTTCTAGCGTTGAGTTGATGTTATGTTCTGGAAACGTTTCTATTTATCATCAACCCTTTCAACACAACGCATTAAGAAGTATCACCCAATCATCCGATTTTTCCTGTGTTATTTTCGTTTTCTTAATCTTAATGATTTATCTGGTGGCAGCAATAATCTTGAATGTGGTATATTAGCAGTATATCTTAACATTAGTTCACCCATATTCTCAGTTTTCTCAAATATTGTCATGATTTTTTTATGCAAGCCTCAATTAAAGGGACAATGCAAAATTATTTCATTGGCAATTAACCAAAGTAATGAAAAAGCAAAAACGCTGCATTGGAAACCTTAAGCCTCACTAACGAGAAAAAGGTACTTATATCAAAACCATGGGGAAAGGAAAATTACATTACCTACTACAATGGTTTGAAGAGAACTTTCAGATAGCCAACATTTGGATAGAAAATATTCGACTCATCCATCAAGCATTCCATCACATACTAGCTCTGAAGCTCAACAGAAATACTAGACACAGGCAGTGAGAAAACTAGATTGAAGAAAGTTTTTTATGATTTTGGGCAATGTCTAGTGGGTCGTAAGGCAATGTCGTCATACTAGTGAGGGTCAAGATGGAGCCCAATAAAATAAGTTGAAAATAGTTAGCAATTATAGACCAGTGCTGAAGCCTTTGAAAGTGGTGAAAAGTGAAAATAAAATTATTGTCGGATGGAACCCATTGGAAATGGAAGAGAATATAACAAAGATTGAAGGAAACATAAATCACAGACGATATGAGGTCGGGAAGTGGTAGGGGATGTCAATTCTTATGTCATTGTCATCAGTGTACGGCAAAGTCACTAGGATTTCAATATCCCTGAAGTGGCGTACTATTTTTATTTTCATTTCTTGTTCAATTTTTTAGATGAGATGTCCCGTTGATTTGAAGAGGAAAAATAGAATATATTGGGAATTTTCGTTGGACAAAAGCATATTGCTGTATTCAATATAATATAATGTAAATATATCCGGGAATTCAATCACTTGGGCTTCAAACATGGAAACTACTTCATGGCTAAGCCAAGCTTTCGAAAACTTTTATTTTCTTCTTCAAGGCTAGAAAACAATATTGAATATGGATTATGTAGATGCATTGACATGCATGATTGAACAGTACGTAACCAAAATGTGTTTGCAACCAACACTGCACAGTTACAAACAGATATTGACATCAAGGCCAACAAAAATAGTAATCAGCCAAACAAGAACTTATTCTGCACAGAGCAGCTCATTGGAAAATATGTACCTACTTTGTTCATATAAAAAATTGGTATTTATATTCTCACTAGCTTTCTATTTATATGCAACTAGTAAAGGCAAATTATCTGAGAATAACAATAATATTGTAAGATATGTAACTGCTTATATTTATAATGGACATATCATTCTATAATCTAACACTCAGTATATTATTATTTACATACTATAATGTAATACCTATCAGAACTTGATTCTCTATGTCGCAAATTGAACAAGATGATAAGCACATATAATTCCTTGAATCGCCTTCTGCAAGGCAGCTATATGTTGACAGTGCATTTATACACAGATGCACTTTTTCTTACAGTTCACTTTAGAATCTTGGATGGAATTATTAATGTAGTGAAAGTAGAATCCGTTCTAGTTCTTTCATGGAATTTACTCTTGATTCTCCCTTATTGCGTACACAGTAATATTACACAGTTCTTCTTGGGTGTCTCCAAGGCTTTTGCTATACAAATTATTTTCCTTTCCAATGCACTTATTATGCAAATTTTTCAAATTTGAACGTTCCGGGCTTCCTGTTATGTTTCACTGTTGTAGGTATCGGGCATATTATATTAGTAGGATTCTTTAATTACCTATTATTGTCTTCTTCAATGGACTCACACCAAAGACATATTTTTCTTAACAAGGATTCAGTGAGACAACATTCAGTAATGGCACATTTCATTTTTTGGAGAAGCTACTTATATCTGCCTGTTTTGATGTATCAGGAAAAAAGAGAAGGATAATTCGAATGAATATGAATTATTCCAGACCCTATTCAACAGCACTAATGACAGTTTTCAGTTTATTTTTCAACTACCAAATGAGCTGTATGTTTTCATCACACTGTCTATCATATTTTTTATCTCACGTCTCACGTTCTTTCATCCCCTACCTTAATCCTACCAAAGGGAACTTCCATCTCTCTGGAATATCTTTAGGATTTTGTTCGTAAAACTGAGGAATCTGTCCCACTGACTGAGTTGTGTTTTTGCTCGCTTTGTTATCCATGTTTGGGTTCATTCCTCATTTATTAATCTATTATTTTTCTCAAATCAACAAAAAGTTCGAACTAGGAACAACAACAAAGACCAATACCTATATAACCTGAATCGTTGAGAATCGCAGAAAGCGGCAACCAAAATCCTTCGCTTCTGCTTCGCTTACGAACTCACGTTCGGCGTCTCCGACCTTATCCGAATATTGATACAGAGTACCGAAACGGCAAAAGCAGTCGATTACGCATGCTTTCGCTTTCGCTTTGAGTTACAGAGTCCCACTGCAGATATACTACAGTCGATGTACTATTTAGTATTTAATATATTTATTTATTTAGAACCACCTAACACCCAACATCCTGTATACACAGGTCTGAAGATATTAAATATACTATCAAATGTGCTGGAAAATGAGCTGTACCATTCAATTTAAAGAAAAATACATAATTATATTCCGGAAAACAACATAACGTGGTTATCGGATAATCTCTATCATTTGATGCTATCTCGTTTCACTCTTCTTTTCATTATTGCAATATTAAAAATAATGCGAAGAATAATGTAGGAAATTTGTCTCAATATATCTCTCTCCTCTATAATAACCAATATATGTACACTGTGTCCATATATCTAGAAAAGTTCTCTATCTAGAAAAAATCGAAAATAATTAGTTTCAATTTCAGTTCACGGGACACCGGATTCAGTTCTCAATAATAATTTGAAAATAAAATTCACTTTTTATGTCAGTTTCAAGTGTCAACTAAACATTCGACTGCTATATCAACCGTCAATATGTTATTTTCACGATCACATTGAGGAAAAAATCCAAATATTTATGAGCGATGGGGTAGTCTGATAAAAAAGTTTGTTTTTCGTCGATTACAAAAAATTACATTTCACGTACTAATTTCCGAATAAATAATCGACTATTTCCGAAGGAAATTTTATTTTGTCCGCTAGAGGTCGACGAAAAAATTGAATATCACTATGCACCACGACGAAAAACTGTCTATTGTCTCGAATGATTGCTAGCCTCGGAGAGGCTCGACTATATTAGATAGTTTTTCCTCCTTGGTACATAAATGATTATTATACCAGCCCAGCGATTTCCAACTGTCCAATAATTGTTTCAATATCTCGAACTCGCATCGCATGATATTGTTATTTGTCTCCTATTAGATGACAAACGATATTTTTTTCTATACTCATTCTCATCATGATACGTTTTCTCCCCTTCTGATACACAATGGTGAATCATTTTTTTCTTAGAACAGCTATAGCTAGGGTACGTTTGATGAACTGCTATAGCTGTGATATCCTGGAATTATACTATTGAATGATAAAATTCGCAGATCACATTTTATTTTTATTTCTTCAGATAATTGGGTCATCTGAAAGAGCAACTCAAATCATGCAAATGAACATTTCAGTCATTTACTCTCGGATGTTTTTATCTCATGATCCAATTTCAGTTTGTATGAAATTATTTATCATCTCGATTCTTGCATTTGAGGTACAAATTGTAGGTGTTCTTAATTATACACATCAAATGCTTTTTCCCATTTTCCTCAATTGGTGCGACTCACTATAACTGTGATTTGAGATATTTTGACAGCCTTCGGGATGTTTTGTTTTCCATGTTAAATAGTGTTAATTGAGTAATTTCTAGCAATTATTGTTAATTTATTACTGTAAAAGATAGATATCGACATGCGGTCAAACCGTACAGAAGTCATTCATTACGAGATATCCATATGATATTGAGAATTTACATCCTCAGCATATCTGAAATAACATATGATTAAATGAAGAAATAAAGGAAACAGCGAAATAACATATGATTTAATGAAGAAATGAAGTAAACAGTGAAACATACCACGACCTCGGATGGCTATTACTTTTGGCTACTGAAAATTATCTGAAATCTGACATGAGTTTCAGTCGACCAATAATCCTATAGAATGTTCACAACAGATGCATTTTCAACATCACTGATATTACTATGTCATTTTGAGAATAGATATCAAATCGAATCTCACTCTATCTATTTCCATGTGGTGTAGTATGTTATGGTCATTTCAATCATGATCTGTTCTACAATCGCAATACGCTGAACTTCTGGCATGTGTTTTATCAACATACTTGGTTCCAAAAGAATTGTCTTTGTTACTCATGAATCTGTAGATTATTTTTTAGGATAGATTTGTTTATCACACTACACTGTTTCACCACTAATAAAACACATTTTTTGCCTCCACAGGTGTTTTGATTATTATATTAGCATCAGGACATCTTCAGGAGAAGATTGAAACTAAATATCCCATCCTCATATACTAGCAATAAACTGTCTGTTATGGTTGTGTTGATATGCTTTTTCTTATTCTAAATCACTCAACTATACAGAGGGCTGTATGAAATAGGTATTTTGT